GTAAAATACGGCGAGAGCGCCCCACTAACTCGTCCTTTCGTGACCCACAGCAAGAAGCTGATCTTTTCATGAAATATTTTTGCACTCTGCCATGCACTATTCCCTGCACAAACAAGGTGGGGCGCTCTCGCGCTACTTAACAGTACTTGTTCTCGTGGAGTGTTGCTGGTGGTGGACTGGTGGATTATTTATGCTGGTGTCTACACGTGTCGTACGATCTTGTCTGGTCAAAGGAAGGACCATTACTTCTATCCCTCATTTGGCTCAACTGCCATTTCTGTTGGTCATAAACAGTGCAAACGTCCCCAACAAAGAAACAACAAGACACTGAGCAACAAGATGGCTATCACGTGGGTCACATGACAGGGGCGTCGGAACCGGTGCGGCAGGTGCGGCCAAAGCCGCACCAATAATTTTCGAATTTTTATTTATTTTTTTACATTTCAACCTTGTTGGTGGCTTGTCGACTCTTGTCCAGGTACCATGTTTTACATCGACAATGCGGTGTATCATCAGCATGCATATTCTTTTTATTATTCTATAAGGCTTTTTAGGCCCAATTTTCAAAAACATTCCCCGCGGGAAGACCCCCGGACCCCCCTCTCACACTTTCGCCGCACCAATCTTAAACTCCTTCCGACGCCCCTGCATGACTACGGCTATGTGTACCACTACATGCATACATATACGCACGCACGCACGCACACAGACAGACACCCACACCCACACCCATATGCAAGCATGCAAGCAGGCAAGCACACGCACATGCAAACACACGCACACACACACACACACACACACACACACACACACACACACACACACACACACACACACACACACAACCATAATGGTGCAGTCACGCAAAGCACACCTGCACCACCTGCACCAGACCACAGTACACAAACGCCGCAGACCAACACACATTGTAACATCAAAGCACGCGAATGCGTACAACCGCATCAGGACTTGAGCTCGATGCGGACAACTACATGTACTAGTATTTGCTGCACTTTTCCACCCCTCAACATTCCCTTACCCACTACCGCGTATCCACCGGGCAAGATTTCCATGGCTGCCAAGCTTTGTGGATAGAACAGTGTGGTAACCTCGCCCACAAGACGTCCAAATGTTGCACCTGCAGAGCAGACAGCAGAGAGCAGAGAGCAGACAGCAGAACGGTTGTTCCAAAGGACTACTAGCTGCTAGAGCAGTTATGTACTTCAAAGTCCATGTACCGTTATAACTCAATTTACTGGTGATCAGTCGACGTGGTTTATAATCAGTTGTCTTACTAGAGCCACGTAAACCCGTCATGTGTGAGCCATGAATAAGGGGAGTGGTGGCGTGGTCTGGGATGCTCTGCCGACCTTGGGTTTCGGCTTCATCACAACCAGGCGCGTCTGGTGATTGCTTCGGCAATGAACTGTTTTGAAAAGGCCTACGAAACAATCCGACTGGACCACTTCTCTTCATATGTGCAACTTGAACCAATTCGATGGTGTGTGATAATATATCATTACCATTGGTTCCAGTACATGTATACAAGTTCAGAGAACCGGTTCTATAGTCGGCTGAAGTTTGCTGCATTTGGTTACATGCGCATACTGGCATTGCAGCTAAACAAGCCAGAAGGGACTTCCCTGCACAAAAAAATCATTTTTTATTCATCAGGTGGTCTCTAGGACAGCACGTGTAGGACCGATAATGAACAATGACGACGACGACAACACCAGCAGCACCACCACCACCACCAGCAGAGCAACAGCAGCATCACCACCAGCACCAACAACAACACACACAGTCATACTAAACAAGGAAAGCCGCACAGTTCTCGTGACATGATGCAATGACCTCTCACCCAGAAGGAAGACGGGGAAGAAAACACCAGCAGGCACCGGTAAAGTAATTGACACAGCCGCCGTCACAAACTACAACATGTACAGAGAAAAAACAGCCGAAGACAGGGCCAGGGACACCTTCAATATTGCTTCACATCTACACAAGTAGAAAGGTTCAACCCTGGCGCTAAGCACACCATTCCTAGGCATGCTCTAACACACGTGACTGTATGTTCCCAGGATCACTTTGTGAAATGCATACCGGGTAGTTTTCTGGAGTGGCAAGCCAGTGGTTGTGATGCTGGTGCTCCACGAAAAACATCACCTTGATGATTACAAACAAGGCCGGCCTAGGCAGCTCGAGGTAGAGTGCTCAATGTACGAATGTACAGAGCAGTATACACACACAACAGAGGCGGAAGGCTGGGTAGCTGTAACTTTAAGTTTCACGCATTTCAGCGATCATCAGACAGCAGCATTCACTATCGAATCCTCTACGAGCAGGCCTAGATATTTCACCTATGTGGTTATATAGGGTACTACCTATGGTGTACTTCGAAGTATGTCTGCACACATTCACGCAGTGATTGCTTGGTACTGCTGTCCCCAGCACTAGACCAATTACCTTGATGACGAAGAAGAGCACCAGCGATAAGAAGAGGTTGGTGTGCGTGGCCCAGGCGTCCACGAGCTGTTTGACCTCGGACTCCTGACCGGGGTACGCCGAGGCGTCAGTCGCTGCCTTGTGCCAGGACACATTACTGAACATCATTGTCAAGGCCTTCTTGTGAGGGAACTGCACAGGACAACATCACATACAGCAACAGTCACCATTCTTTTCTCTCTTACTCTGTCTCTCTCCTTTTCTGATGACCCTCAGATATTTTGTTTTCTGTTCAACCATCTTTGAAGTTGTACATTGTCACTGTTGAGGCAACAAACTAAAATAAATTAAAAACAAAAACAAAACAAAAACTGTGGACTGCTAAGACTGGCAGAGCGAGCTCTCACATCCAAGACCAATGAAGATGGCAGAGCGAGCTCTCACATCCAAGACCAATGAAGATGACAGAAGGGAGGTCAATATCCAGCAGATGCCCCCTTGATAAACGAAAGGGTAGCCATCGCAAATATAAGGCGAGCGTGTGGCCATGCAGGCCTACGCACCAAGTCCGAGCATGTACGCAGGGTGTAATACTACACAGGGAAAGGGATTACATGGAGTGTAGTGGCATGCATTGCTCATAAAAATCACAATCTTCTCCGTACACCGACTTGTCAAAGCCTTGGTTTGCCACACTACCACCACCACTGCATGCACTCTTTGGCTGATCACGTGATGACAACCAATCTAATCCCATCCTACGGTTGTGTTTGATTGGTTAATCCAGATTCGGATCCAAATCGTGGGAGCAGTCGAAACATCAGTTCCCAATGAAGCAGAAGAGCTAATAACTTTACAAGAAATAGAGCATTTTTCGCCGTGGTTAACATTGGGTTTTTCACATTGCTCTGCCTGCACCAGCCCCGGGGAAGGAGTTTTCAAAATATAAATCACTCCGTACATTCCGACGACCTCTCTAGCAAATTCTGAACACTCCAGAACCAAAGCAGGGTTAGATTCACCCTACGTTAGTCAATGCTTACCTCGCCACCAAAGTATTTGCCCAGTCCAGCAGGGTACTGAAGGGACATGATTACCAGTACCCAGATCATAGGGAACACATAGCGACTGGATGCAGCGGCACGAGACAGAGAGAGAAAGAGAGAGAGAGAGAGAGAGAGAGAGAGAGACGGATAGAGTGAGAGAGAGAGTGAGAGAAGGAAGATGGCAGTATGCGCTCATTATAATTATTGTTCCGGCGCTCTTCAACAGTTACATTGTACGACTTTCCGCTCTTCCCTTCCAATTCTACACATGCACGTTCTTGCGAAAATTAGTTTACAAAATTCATATTAACAATCCACTGCTGTGCTAAGTGGCACCCAGAACACTCAAACACCAGCTATTATAGTTAGCTGATACTCGCAAGACTACCCCCCCCCCCCCCTCCCACCAAAAACCCCTAAAGAGTAGGGTTTGTCCTTCCAGCAACACAATAGGCATAGCCACTCCATTCCTCAATGAGGTGCGCCCTGCTTTGCTACTAACTTTGCATCCAGCAGCTTCCAGATTCCGGTTCCGGCCTTGCGCCGCCGATACAGCACAAACGTCCGGTTCAGCTTGACGAACAGAGCTCCCAGGACCCCACAGGCCGCACTGAAGGAAACATCACAACACAAGTACAGAACAGTTTCGCTGCACATCAGGAGCCTAGAGGAAAACCGTGAACTTACACTGATGAATACCAATGCAGTTTTTTTTACAACAAAAACACCAAGAGACACATACCGTAATGTCGCGTATAAAAGCCGTGCGTACTCCTGTAGAAGCCGATGCCAGCGCCAGGCTTCTATTCAAAGCATGTATCTCTATGTGCATGTATGTCAAGACTAAAACCAGGCTTATGCAGGTGCTGACAGTATATCTTAAAAATCAGAACAGGCTTCTATTCAGAACAGGCTTCTATTCAGAACAGGCTCCTATACGAGACAGGCTTCTATACGAGACAGGCTTTTATAAAAGACACTACAGTAGCTATATAGTGAAGGCAGCAGCACAACGGCAGTGGTGGTGAGATCCATTATAATACTTCAAGTACCGATACGTGTAATTCGAATATGGCCCAGTTCAAAAATTCTGTGTATTTCAAACTCATCCCATGTACCGGTTACTAGTATGCCTGCACAAGCTTGATAGCTCAAACTACATAGCACAAAGAAATCAACTACATCATCACAAACAGGATGCTAGATAGACTGCTGGGCATCTACCAACCCATGCACGCGGTACAGTGTAAAAGCCAACGTGCAAGATCAAGAACGGACGGCGCACGCATTACGTACCCCAGGATAATGTGTGCCACCAGCTCCGGCAGGTTGAACGGAACGTCCTGGCGGAAGTGAGTCGTGAACAGAGTGGTCATCGTCGCTAGAGTAGAATAGCACATATCATGTAACATGACAGTCAGATGGTTGGCACAAAAGGATCACAGCATTTTACCGGGTAAATGTCGACGCCTTTGTACCTGGGGCCTGGATTTCCGAGTTAAAAGGCGATTAAACCCCCGGTTGCGAGTACACATTGCTCAGTGGAATACCATGATAAAACTAGGGTTGTGAAGATTACACATCATTGTCACATGGCAGTCATACATTGGGTCCTTGTTTCCTATCGCAGCTTCAGATTTGGATGGTACAGGTCTGGGGTATTCTGACTTCTCTCCCCCCCCCCCCCCCCCCCGCCCTGTTGAATCCAACCGTGAAGGGAACATTATACATTGGATTTTCCACGTAGGACTTTGTACAAGTACAGAGGTAAAAGTCATAAATACACACCAACAGGGCCGGGACGTAGAAAAACAGTAGGGTCAGTAGTTCCAGGACTAAGCCAAATTTCGACGTGAGATGCAGCTTTCTCGCATCGCTTTCCAGTGCGCGAGCGGAATTTCCGCGTCACGTCAAAACTAACGTGTAGCTTAACCTCTCTATTATCTAGTGCCCCGTTCCTTACGTTGGTTGGTGACCCAGAAGGACAGGAATCGGAAGCAGAATGCACTGCAAATGGCAGCAAAGAAGCCACGCCAGTAGTTGCGAACAGCAAAGTAGGTGGAGGTGACTTCAATACTGAACAGCACACCTGCGGAAACAGAGAGAAAAGAACATTACATTCTGGGTCTAAAGACAGAGTCCCTGTTTCATTTGTAAGGTCTGCATTCGACACTAGGATATAATCGTAATTATGGGTAAAGGTGGCTCAATACAAAAGCCTTATGATGTCATTCCATTGCATCATCATTTGATGTGTCTTGAATGGAGTGGTATCACAAGCACTGGTTTGTCACTCGCTATAATGCATATGATGACGTCATTCCATTACATCATCTTTTGAGGTGTCGTGTATGCAGTGGCATCACAAGCACTCAGTGGTTTCTCACTCAATGCAAAGCACGTACAAATAATGTCATTTGCTTAACCTGCATAACGAGCAGTTCATCTCCGACAAGGTTTACACCATGCACATGCAGAAGAAGGTGATGTACAGACCTCCCACAGGCGCTGCAAAGTTCGAAGACACTCCAACGGCGCATGCAGCTGCCAGAAGCTCCGACGCCCTGCTCTCATTCTGCAGGAAGAGAATCGTCATATCATACCAGCAAAACAAAGAGGCATAAAACCTATATTGAATGCAGCAATCCGCCACCACGGAGGCTCAGCATGTGTGCACGAAGCGGTACTGTTGAAGAGACACAGCAATACTCTCATAACATTCCTCAATCCGGCCTGATTCAAAGCTGGTACTGGAAGAGCGGACTAATCCGTTACCAACATTGTTTATCCATTCCAAATGGTCTTTTATGCATCACATGATCCAAAATTGCTTCTCACTGAACATTGTTCGTACACAAGCGTTTGACAATCACAGTTGTCCGGCTAACAGTTTCTAGTCAGACAGTGCATACGGTGATCACAGTCATTGGGATCGGTCAGCTTGGTGCCCAATGCCTTACCAAGTAAATTGTGTTGATGTTGGTCAAGATGCGACTGAGATTGTGGCCCAAGATGCTTGCCATGTGTACGAATGGACCCTATACAGATGAAAACAAACACCATACACTTAACAACAATTGTAGACTGACTCATAGTGCCTATTTGACAGGTTCCATACTGCCAGTCCAAGACAGCGCCGCACTTAGATACATGTGATGTTTGGAGTCATATATTTATGACTCTATTGCTTCTGCCGGTCCTCCCCCTCTATGTAGAAGCCTGCTACAAATCAAACCTAGCTTCCCAAGGGTAATTTGACCGGGAACGACTGGACTTGATCTCAGTTGTAGTGGTCCTCTAGGACAGGTGGTCGCCCGATCAGAGTGGTCGCCTTGAGAGGTTTAACTGCACGTACGATGCAAGTAAACCTGAGGATCGTTTGGGGAAGTTTGGCATGGCGATCAGCCAGAAGTCATAGCCATGGAAGTATTACGACGGGCACCTACACTGGTGGTAAGTAAAGTCAACAGCCTGCCGTTCATATGGTTGTTTGTCAGTTGTTTGTTTGTTTAGCGTTTTTTTTTTTTTTACTTCACTAGACGCACAGGCAAAATCTGCCTTCTTACCGGGCGTATTGCTACAGTTCTCGCAGAAAAGATGAAGATGGTCCTGGTATGGTGAGCACCGGCTTGCCTCCCCATGCGCTGTGCTGCATGGTTTTCACCGCGCACAGATCATACAGAACTACTTTTGGGCCGCTAGGAAAACCAGGGTTTGGATTTCACTGGCTACCACAGTGAAATCCAGGGTTTGGATTTCACTGGCTACCACAGTGAAATCCAGGGTTTGGATTTCACTGGCTACCACAGTGAAATCCAGGGCTTGGATTTCACTGGCTACCACAGTGAAATCCAGGGTTTGGATTTCACTGGCTACTACAGTGAAAACCAGGGTTTGGATTTCACTGGCTACCACAGTGATCTCTACATCTTCTTCTTCGACCTTCGTGCAGTGATCCTGAGCTCTGCGGATCAGAACTACAGAAAAACCTATCAGGAGACCACTCGGATAAGGTGACCACCTGTCCAAGAAGACCACCGAAACCAGGACCAAGGGATGTTATTTCCAGTCAAATGACCCTGGATAAGGAGACCACCTGGTAATACAGACCACATTTTCGAAGGTCCCTTGAGCGGTCGTCTTAGACAGGTTTCACTGTACTTCTCAGGTACTGGAATTAACAGCTGTCCAGCGACTGAGCCGTGATGTACTACATCAACTATACATGTACTTGTTTGCAATTCTTACCTCCTTTCCAATAGGAATCCCACTGCCAAGTCCAGCTATCAGTCCCACCTAAAGAGACACACGACAGACACAACATGAAAAAGCACAAACCTATTCCGTTGGTTGCCGTTCTTAAACACAGGCTAAGCACAATGCATTCTACTTGTGGGCAACACTACATACAGTACTCAATCATGATCTACCAAGAGACTTGCTAGCTCTGTGTGCATACACACATATTGGTGTGCGGACATCTTGAACGTTGATTTCGCTGGCCGGAGATTGGGTTCGGAGCACTGAATGCAGCATCGAATTCGTCCAAAAACCCATTCAAAATGGTTTTTTGCTGGAAATTGTTTGCTTGTATACAAAGGAATACACCGGTATGTCGGCGCCACCATTCAAGTCACGCCATGCCAACCACATGACTACAACAAGATACGAGAAGTACTCCAGCTGCACTGAGTTCTCCAACTACATCTGGAAGCTGAAGAAATCCAACGCCCAATACGAAGTCGAATGGAGGATAAAAGATCGCGCCCGGGCATACTCCAACATCACGAAGCGGTGTTCCCTCTGTACCAGAGAAAAGTATCACATCCTGAACACGCTAGGGTCACCGTCCAGCCTCAACAAGCGCTCCGAAATGGTGTCCAAGTGCCGACACGAGAACAAGTATCTCCTAAAAAACCACGGTGTCACCTAAACATGTCTCCACAGCCTCCTGCCCACACCATTCACGTTCACACACCTTGCTCATAACACCCTGCCCACACCAGACATATCCATTTACATTGCGCTATTATCACACTGCTAGCTCTACAGCCTCCTGCCTACAACATCCACACGCATTGTTCACCACCTCCTGCCCACACCAGCCACACACTTCGCGCTCACACTGCACTGCTAGCCCCTGCCTTCAACAACCACACACTCTGCACACAGCCCCCTGCCTAAAACATCACCGCTACTGCGCTAGCCCCCACAGTCTCACACAGCTTTTTATACCACCCTCTCCTGGCATATATACCGGCATGGTCGGCACCCGATCTTCATGTTGCCTGATGATTGCGTAAGCATGAAACTTAAAGTAGCAGCAAACAAGCCTTGATTGTCCTTGTTGTTCTGTAGCTTGTATACAAACAAACAATTTCCAGCAAAAAGCCATTTTGAAAAATTTGACCTATAGGTCTGTTTTTGCTGATCACGGCTCATAATTATATCCTTCCCTGCCTCAGCAGTCCCTAGACAGGCGAAGCAACGACCGCGCAGTGAGCTGGCGGAAACGTTGCAAAAGAGCAAGTGAAACGCGTGACGCTGACATTTACAAAGAATCATCATCCAGTTACCACTGCAGTGATTGGTGGTTTTACGGGCACGTACATGTGCCCCCGAATGAGAGCTTCCTGTGAAACTATGCAAAACCCTTGCTGTACCACACACTTCGCATACACACTATTCATGATGCAGGGCGCCCCAGTGGATCAAGTTTTCATCAGCGTTAAGGGAATGGAAAGGGAAAACGCTGAAGAGATCATTATTTCTGCAATGAACGCACCAGAGTCAGAGGCACGAATGTCCACACAGCTTAGGGAGCGCTGTGTGGGCAGGTTTATTTTAGACGTCATTCCCTGCAACATGCGATACTACACTGGAGTCCCCACACCAGAGCTCAGTAGAGGCAGCACAGCAATGCAGTCAGCTAGCAAGATTTAGACTGTACTTACTGATTTGGCAACCAACGCCTTCATGGACAGGTAGTGCGGAAGATCCACGCCTCTCAAAACGCTTTTCATTTCTGGAATGCCAGAGCCTAGCAACAACACAAAAAGATTTGGTAGACGAGTAAGAGGAGCAAGAGATGCCAGCAAGGAAAATTATGAAACTGACGACGCATCTGCAGCATATCATGTAGAAAACGTTAGAATGTAACCTCCTATCCCAGGCAATACCTCGGCACGCACTCCCACTCCCGGACCTGTATGAAAACGGCCGCCGGTTTCAAAGACAGCACTGCAAACACCGGGTGTCCACTGTGCGCTGTTCGTTGCTCTTTGGGAGCTACTTGTACACGCATTCGCAGTGGTGTGTACCGGTTCTTTGCAACCCTGTTTGTCAACTAACATGGCTAGGCACATAGCCAGGGGGGTCGGAGGGTGCGGACAAACCCCCATTTATTGCCGAAAGCCTTGAAAAAACATGAAAATGTTTTTGTCTGCGGAGCACAGACAACTGAATTAGACTACACGTGTACTCTAATTCAGTTGTCTATGCTCCGCAGGTTTATACTAGTATGCATGTGTACGTAACCCTCTTTTTGACAGCCTGGCTGCATACCCTGTGACCTGTCATTCTCGGATAAGACCGTGAAGGGGATACCAAATCAGATCCCAACATTGCAGGGTATAGTAGATATGGCGCAGCTCTCCGCTCACCTGCAGCGACCGGTGCAATGGCGTTGGTCCAAGCAATGGCGAACATCAGCAGTAACAGCGGGTAGAGAATCCAGACAAAGAACTGAGCGGCCATGTAGTCCTCCAGTAAGTAGTACAGATAGACGTGAACTGCAGGGCAGGACACCAGAATGGAGATCGTTAGCGCCCGCACATTCCACCACAGATCACACGCAGGGCAGGTGAATTGTCACAGCGACTGACTGATACGTGAGATCATTACACCTAATTGACTTGTATTACCAATGTTCTGGGATTCGTTACCAACTCATACGCCAACGGGCAAGTACTACTACTAACCCACAGGGCCAAAATATGACCCAGAAAGCTTACAGTTGCTGACTTTGCCGATAGCGTAGTCGATAAAGAAGCTGAGCAACGCCATGGCAACGCCGAGAATCAGCAAGAAGAGCCAGTCCTCGCCGATGCGGGTGACGAAGAACTTGACAAACCTCTGCCAGCCTACAGTCAGGAGATAGCCAAGTCAGCATCACATGCATACTGGCGCTATGTTATTATGATTGCGGAATAACAACAATAAAAGTCAGCACAGTCGGAAGGATCAGACCAAGGCAAGTGTACGGCCCCCGGTGCTGCCCATGTGCGAAAGCCTTTTTCTAATCACGTACATGTAGATGGACATCATGCGCGTACGATTGATAGGAGCATGCAAATACACCCCGGTCTACGCTCAAATCTTTATCTGAATCCAGGCGGAGTGTCCAGACAAGTAGACAGGGATCAAAACTGAATTCTGAGGGAAAAATCAGTACTCCTGCTGCACGTATTGCGACCTGTCTGGAAGACCACCTGAACATAAAGACCGCCTGTCCATAATTATCACCTGTATAATTATAAAGACTACCTGTCTATAAATATCACCTGCATATAAAGGCCACCTGACACACAGACCACCTGTATAAACAGACCACCTGTGTATGCAGACCACCTGTATATTATGCAGACCACCAGTATACAGACCACCTGCATATAAAGATCACCTGTGTATAAGACCTCAGGTTCGTTAAGACGGCCTGTGCCTAAAGATCAGTTGTCTGAGTGCCAGGGAGTAGCTACTGAAGACAGGTTTCCAGGTGCACTACAACGTGCACACAGTCAGATCTCTTATCCGGCTGAATCGATTTCCGGCACGATTTCTCAACAAGCAGATTTCTGCCAACACCTTACCAGCGTTCATCGCATTACCGATAATTCAGCGCTCACAATCCGTCTCCGGCAGTTCTTTTCTGGTCAAAAGGGTTAACAGCTAGCTCTTATGTCCGACGCCGGTCCATGTGTGTTTCAATGTACACCATCACCGTCTCAGGCAATCATAACCAAACCTCCATGCGGTTTAGGCATGACCGGTGCATGGGTGCCAGAAAAAAATCACCGCGTACAGTAGTGCTTAAGGACATCTGATAGAGTCACTCAAGTACGCGGCGGGCGTTGCACGGCCCTGGACCTGCGAACACTGGGCTGCGGAATGGTGCAAGGCGCAAACTGCTACTTGACGCATGTGATCGGATTTCATTGAGCAGCGCTGTAGTTGCAGCCACATAATAGAAACTGTTACGTGTGTACATGGTGGCATAATCCCTCCAGATTTCACCACACAGCAGCCACCAGGGGCGGATCCAGGGGTTCTGGGGATTCCCCTAAATTTCGCAAATGTACTACAGGAAATCGCACATGTATGAGCTATTCAGGTTTGGCTAAACTGGAACCCGCTGTAGAGATTTCCGGATTCACCCCTGGCTATACTTACACGAGCCCCGCGCCGTGCTGCCTGTCCTGCTGCCATGCGGTGGTTGAAAGACGGCCGCCTTCCGGTCTTTAGCAGAGGCACTGACCTCGCGCAGGTATTTCGTGTACACCTGTCACACAAGAACCAAACGCCAGACTGGAGATCAGGAAGTACAATCGTTGCAGAGGTCCTTGTTGTCACAGAAGCACGCCGGTGACTTTGTCCTGTGGTGGATGGGGAGACAGATCATCTCTGTCACCTCCAGCGCTTGTGTCCAGACAACTCCCATGATTGGCAGCGATTGTCACGTGTACTCATACAATCGAATCCGCTTATAAGGGGAGTAGGGAGGGAGAAAAGGGGTACTGATCATCTTCATGACACGTAATTCTATAGGTCCACACTGCATAACATGATGGCTCCTTCTTTAGTTGCAGGGGATGTGTGCATGGCTGATGTGGTGCCAGCAAACAACCCCAAATTGCTTGTACATGTATATTCTGTCCAGAGAAGATTTGTCAAAAGACCAATAACAGCATTCAGTCCGGACAAGGTTCACGGGAAGCTCCTGAGGACCTGGATATCATCCGTATAAAGTAACTTGATTATTTGTTAGGGTGCACTAACTGAACCAGATTTTGAACAGTCAGACGTGCACAAGGTAGCACTAGACCGGCAAGGAGTACTGAGACATTCCGCAGCAAGTACTCCTTGTCAGTCTGGTGCTAACATTACCTTGTGCACATCTAACTGTTCAAAATCCGGTTCAGTTGGTGGGCTCTAAGTCTAACGCATAACTAACTTGCGCCCCGCCGTTTTCCTTGTTTCCTTTTGATAATTTGTTCTTCATGCAATCTTTCACAGCAAGCAGTGACCACTGCGTTTTGACACATGCACGCTAGCTGGTACGGTGATGAGGTACTACAAGATTGTAATTATTCATCGAACGGCAATGATTTGGGAAAGATAAAAGTCATCAAACCCTTGCAAGATAAGAAACCCTTTTCTGGAACGGAATAACTGATAAATAAGTGATAATTACTTGCAGCGAAAGCGTCGTCTAATGCTACAGACACAAGGCGCTACAACATTAACACGTGGCTTAGTGTAAGTAGGTTATCATGGTTATCAGGTTATTGCTGGCGCAAGAGGCGTGTGATACATCGGGTGGTATGAGGTCAAGTCAGGGAGTAGCCATGCCGAACTCTACACTTATTCCCCTGGAAACCTTCCCGTAAGGTTCTGCGCGGGCATAAACCGTAGACTCTACCACCAGCAATATCCGGTCTTCTTTTCTTAATTTTTATTTTACCTTAGAGCCTTCCTTGCGGCTGCTCTGTCCACCATTGCGTTGGCGAGCCTCCACAGTGGCGAACAGCAGCTCCTCCATTCCGTCCGCCATGTTCGAATTGTTGCCAATCTTCAGGTCTTCGAGAGGCGACCAAGTAAAGGCCTTCGTTTGTTTGGCATTCCGTCTGGCATTCAAACTCCTTGACGTGGCTAGAAGATAATGTCAGTAGTGCTCTGAGGTCGACCGAAATTTGTTGGCTCGGCTTCCACATCTTCGTCCCGCCAGTCGTGTACTATCTATAGATCTCCGCCGAGCCTCTGACAGTGCATTCCACCATCGTGCAGTTTCAATCGTGCAGATTATCGATTCCTTTCATCGTTGACTCGGCGTATCCAACCAACTCGCGACAGCAAGACCAGCGCTGGCCAGCAGAAACAAGTAACAACACGGCCTGTGCCCTTGAAAGATCAATGATGCGCGAACACAGAGCTGTGCCACACAGAACGGAGATGGGTGGTGAACCAACTCAGTGGTTCCGACCGCACGCTAAACGAATACACGAATATCCCCATACATATTTATTGGGTAGAAGTAGCAGAGCAGATTTACCAACCAGACCCATGGCCATAGCCATACCGGTGCAGATAGGAAATCGTGGGCGAAGTGGGCGGCATGGGTGCAGAATAGGAAAAGGGCGACGATCTACGGAGGTTCTTCTCTGACTCTGGTCTGCTGATATTTTTGTATTACCTAACTAATGGCTACAGCAGTTAGCCTTGTTTGGTGGTCTTCCAGCACGCGGTCAGAGCAGAGTCGGAAGTGCATGCAATGCATGGCAGATAAAAAATAATTACGCACATAGTCATTGCCATCTCGCCTCCCCACCTCGTCTACAGCCTGCAGGCCTGGCAGTACAACGACGTAACGACGTTGTTCTTTGTGTCAGCGGATATCGACATCGACACGCCGGTGTCAGTGATCATGGTGATACTGATAGTGCTACAACTAAAGAAGTATTACATGTAGACTTCTAAGTCTTGTCTTTACAAGTGCAGTGTGCTGGATAGGAGGTCTGCATGGTACCGACCGCGCCGCATCGATCCCTCGCGTCGCCCGCAACCGGTGATGGACCGTAGATCTGGTTTTGTAGTAGTACTAGTAGTATGGATCATGTCGTGGTTTGCACCAGATAGCTGTAGCCTAGGTGTAGCCACCATGATCGCGATTACCGATTACCGGCATCGGATGGCCAGCATGGTCCCCCGGCAGTGGCCCTTCGTCTCTGTGCATGCAGTCACGACATCAGCACACCTGTGCCTGAGTTTTAGTGGAGGTGTAACGAATATTCGACTGTTCGGTATGTTGGAGGGAATCAGATAGCCCTTTCCCAAGGATACCATAATTTTTCGCAACCGCGCCAAAACAAGTGCAAGTAATTAGTTAGTTGCTGAAATCGCGTCCATATTTTCAGAAAATAATCAGTGAGTGTACATAACGGTGAAAATGAAGGAAGTTGCGAAAGTTGCGATTTATTCCAAAACAACGGAAAGTTGCGAAAAAAAGTGGCGAGCATCTTTGGGAAAGGACAAATCATTGAACAGTTCGTGGAAATTGCGGTTCGTTACATCGGCAGCAGTTGGCCTCCTCGGGCCTCCAACATGCTGGTCATCCAGCGTCCTCTCAGTGAAGGAATACTCTCGAGAACAACGAATCAAAGAAAACAAAAAATCAGTTCTATCCTGCACTCTTCCACAGTACTCAGTAGGTAGATATACGCGTGGATCTACATCTACAATATGCTGGCAATGATATAATAATTGATGAATTGTGTGTTGCTCCCTACATGGGAGCTTGCGCTATTCCTGCCGACTTGAATTCTCACTTGACTGACCCACGACTGCCATCCAGAGCACACGAGAATACCATCGAACCTTCCACTCGGCAGACCTGCAAGAAAGCACCACTGCCTGCTCAATACACAGTGTTTCGGGGAATTCACCCCTCATTAGTTGAGCTTGACTAGGCTGAGGAACATTGTGCCTAAACTAAAGAGCACCACTTCTAGATTATAGTGCTCTACAGGCACAAACATCACCAGGGATACAAACTTACAGAGACGCTCCGTTTCCAGCGCGACAAACACCTCGGGAACACCAGATAGCAGCGTGAGTCAGTGTCGCTCATGGAGGTGCTGAACAAACGCTGAGGACCGTTGGCCATTCACAGCGTTGTTGCCTCCAAACCATCTAATTCGCAAGCCCGCGCCGGAGACAACAAAGTGAAGAAGAGGTTGATGCGACTTCGGCGATAATTGGGGAATTGTATGTTGCTCCCTACTTGGGAGCTTGCGCTATTCCTGCCGACTTTAATTCTCACTTGACTGACTCATGACTGCCATCCAGAGCACACGAGAAGTCCATCGAACCTTCCACTCAGCAAACCTGCAAGAAAGCACCACTCCCTGCTCTTTACACAGTGTTTCGGGGAATTCACCCCTCATCAGTTGAGCTTGACTAGGCTGAGGAACATTGTGCCTAAAGAGCACCACTTATAATAATAGTGCTCTCCAGGCACAAATATCACCAGGGATACAAACTTACAGAGACGCTCCGTTTCCAGCGCGACAAACACCTCGGGAACACCAGATAGCAGCGTGAGTCAGTGTCGCTCATGGAGGTGCTGAACAAACGCTGAGGACCGTTGGCCATTCACAACGTTGTTGCCTCCAAACCATCTAATTCGCAAGCCCGCGCCGGAGACAACAAAGTGAAGAAGAGGTTGATGCGACTTCGGCGATAATTGGGGAATTGTATGTTGCTCCCTACGTGGGAGCTTGCGCTATTCCTGCCGACTTTAATTCTCACTTGACTGACTCATGACTGCCATCCAGAGCACACGAGAAGTCCATCGAACCTTCCACTCAGCAAACCTGCAAGAAAGCACCACTCCCTGCTCTTTACACAGGTTTCGGAGAATTCACCCCTCATCAGTTGAGCTTGACTAGGCTGAGGAACATTGTGCCTAAAGAGCACCACTTATAATAATAGTGCTCTCCAGGCACAAATATCACCAGGGATACAAACTTACAGAGACGCTCCGTTTCCAGCGCGACAAACACCTCGGGAACACCAGATAGCAGCGTGAGTCAGTGTCGCTCATGGAGGTGCTGAACAAACGCTGAGGACCGTTGGCCATTCACAGCGTTGTTGCCTCCAAACCATCTAATTCGCAAGCCCGCGCCGGAGACAACAAAGTGAAGAAGAGGTTGATGCGACTTCGGCGATAATTGGGGAATTGTATGTTGCTCCCTACTTGGGAGCTTGCGCTATTCCTGCCGACTTTAATTCTCACTTGACTGACTCATGACTGCCATCCAGAGCACACGAGAAGTCCATCGAACCTTCCACTCAGCAAACCTGCAAGAAAGCACCACTCCCTGCTCTTTACACAGTGTTTCGGGGAATTCACCCCTCATCAGTTGAGCTTGACTAGGCTGAGGAACATTGTGCCTAAAGAGCACCACTTATAATAATAGTGCTCTCCAGGCACAAATATCACCAGGGATACAAACTTACAGAGACGCTCCGTTTCCAGCGCGACAAACACCTCGGGAACACCAGATAGCAGCGTGAGTCAGTGTCGCTCATGGAGGTGCTGAACAAACGCTGAGGACCGTTGGCCATTCACAACGTTGTTGCCTCCAAACCATCTAATTCGCAAGCCCGCGCCGGAGACAACAAAGTGAAGAAGAGGTTGATGCGACTTCGGCGATAATTGGGGAATTGTATGTTGCTCCCTACGTGGGAGCTTGCGCTATTCCTGCCGACTTTAATTCTCACTTGACTGACTCATGACTGCCATCCAGAGCACACGAGAAGTCCATCGAACCTTCCACTCAGCAAACCTGCAAGAAAGCACCACTCCCTGCTCTTTACACAGGTTTCGGAGAATTCACCCCTCATCAGTTGAGCTTGACTAGGCTGAGGAACATTGTGCCTAAAGAGCACCACTTATAATAATAGTGCTCTCCAGGCACAAATATCACCAGGGATACAAACTTACAGAGACGCTCCGTTTCCAGCGCGACAAACACCTCGGGAACACCAGATAGCAGCGTGAGTCAGTGTCGCTCATGGAGGTGCTGAACAAACGCTGAGGACCGTTGGCCATTCACAACGTTGTTGCCTCCAAACCATCTAATTCGCAAGCCCGCGCCGGAGACAACAAAGTGAAGAAGAGGTTGATGCGACTTGGCGATAATTGGGGAATTGTGTGTTGCTCCCTACGTGGGAGCTTGCGCTATTCCTACCGACTTGAATTCTCACTTGACTGACTCATGACTGCCATCCAGAGCACACGAGAAGTCCATCGAACCATCCACTCAGCAAACCTGCAGGAAAGCACCACTACCTGCTCAATACATAGTGTTCCGGGGAATTCACCCCTCATCAGTTGAGCTTGAGTAGGCTGAGGAAGATTGTGCCTAAAGAGCACCACTTATATAGTGCTCTCACATTGTTGTCCATGGCGCGGGCTTGCGAATTAGATGGTTTTGGAGGCAACAACGTTGTGAATGGCCAACGGTCCTCAGCGTTTGTTCAGCACTTCCATGAGCGACACTGACTCACGCTGCTATCTGGTGTTCCCGAGGTGTTTGTCACGCTGGAAACGGAGCGTCTCCGTACGTTTGTATCCCTGGTGATGTTTGTGCCTGGAGAGCACTATAATGTATATAAGTGGTGCTCTTCAGCCACAATCTTCCTCAGCCTACTCAAGCTCAACTGATGAGGGGTGAATTCTCCGAAACACTGTGTATTGAGCAGGGAGTGGTGCTTTCTTGCAGGTTTGCCGAGTGGAAGGTTCGATGGACTTCGCGTGTGCTCTGGATGGCAGTCGTGAGTTAGTCAGGTGAGAATTCGAGTCAGCAGGAATAGCGCAAGCTCCCAAGTAGGGAGCAACACACAATTCCCCAATTATCGCCGAAGCCGCATCAACCTCTTCTTGAGATCATTGATGAGCTCGAAAATATTCCTGTGACTCCAGACTAAAACAGACAGTAGATCTACTGGCTACTGTTTGGGACTCATCACCGCAGCACAGAGACATACTGTCATACATGTACGTGACCGTGATGACTGTAATCAAGAGTACATGTACATAACCCCCCAGAGTGTGCAACGCCGATCCAGCTCTGTGTAGGGTCTTGGTCGAGCGGAATCGGATCTTCTGATGTCATGCGTACACTTCACACCAGCGCAAGGCCGGTCTCGAGGCAGGGCACCATTGTTTTTGATCCAAGAGTACCCGCGACTCCCCGGGTTCCCCTCAGATGTGTACGGTATTATGACGCAAAGATCCGATTCCGCTCGACCAAGACCCTATGCAGAGCTGGATCAGGCGTTGCACACTCTGGGGGGTTATGTACTCTTGCTGTAATCATACAGCCTAG